AAATGACTCGCTGTTAATGTATATCAAACGTTGTAAGCTGTTCGAGTCACTATCCAATTTCTGTCGACTTAATTCTAAAAAAAAAAGGGGAAAATCTTGGGAGCGTAGAAATATTTCTGCAAAAAGTGACACGAGTTTAAAAAAAAAAAAAAAAACCACGAATCTCGAATTTATTATAGCATAAATCGTGAAAATAAATTTAATGAGTGAAAATAAATAAATATTTACGCTTAATCTGCAAGTAAAATACGACGTGACACGCGGATACGCATTGCTGTTATTCGAGAGAGACGTCTGGAATTTGATGTTGTTGACTCGTGCCACTTTTCATGCGACGATGCGTATATTAATAACTAGCGCGCCTCGCGCTCTTCATCTGGCAAACGAGATTTTAACCAGCCATGACGCTTAGCGTTGATTCCAGTCGATTGGCAACTGATCTTGATCATCGCCGGACTGGTTGTCTGCGTGATCCTGATTGGCATAATAGTCATACTCATTCTACAATGTCGCGATCGTATTAAGCAGCCACGACCGCGAACGGCGCAAAATCAAGAGACTGATATGCGTAAGTAATTACCTACAACGCCAATAACATACAAGTTGTTGTAAGCTTAATTGTTTTAAAGTAATGAATGTTACACCCAATACAATAGAAAGTAATATCCAATATAATGCTTGAAATAGCTCTTTCAAATCTAACTTTTATTCTGCCTTGCAATAAATACGTTAACGTGCTCTTTTTCGACGTTTTAAAAATTCATATTCTTAAATTTTTTAAGACACCTGTGTGTGCATCGATTGCAATCTTTTTTTTCTAATTCATACAGAGGAAACCGATTCTAACGCCGATCGATACAGAGAAAGCGATAGGAGCAGCAACCTCTCGGATGTCAAAGCGGACATCCGAGCGGGGTCCAGTGTCAGCAACGCGGAAAGTGTCACGGCCCTTGACAGTGAAGGCGAAGGAAGTACCAGAGGAGTAAATGCCTTGGCGCTTGCTGGACCAGTGCCGAATCCATTATCCGGTTATCGTTACAGCGCCGATTATACCGAGCCTTCCTTCCCGCCGAAGAATACCGTAAGTGGATTTAGAGTACGTTTGCGCTCGGTACTTTAACGACTGTGAGATACCGCTTGAAAAAGTGCGAAGAAAAAGGATCCATTTATCTGAGAATAGACTTTTTTACACAGAGATATTTCTCGTTATTTGTCTTGTCTATCCAATAAAAACAGTATTAAAATCTATTCAATATTGAGACGTTGCGTTTGTTTCCGTAGGACGGCAGTAACAACAACGGTTACGTGCCATACGTTGACTACACTCGCGATTATATGCCACCAACGACACAGAGCATGGGCGCTTCGCGAGAGTCCTTGAGCAGGATATCCTCGGGCGGTATCCTATCATCGAAAAAAATCGGACTCAGCTCGGCCAACCTGGGCAGCACGACTCCGCAGACGACGCCGATCGATCCGCGATTTTCCGCGACATATGGCAACCCTTATCTCAGGTAAGCCAAAAAGCAAACAAGGAGATTTACTATTTTATTATTAATTATTATCTAATCGATAATTAAAATCGATAGTTAAAATTTTTCTACAAATTTTCGACTCCAGATGCGTGAGATAATCTGCAAGAACGATAGCCCCGGTGTATCTCTAGTGCAACATAATTCCTTCTCCATGTAAGCCAAGGAAATAACGCGCGTTGACGCTCGATCAAAGTTCCAAAATTTCTGAGAGCGTCAACATAGTCCCGAGAATCTTGGATCGGAGCTCGCGCGCGGATGCCTCGGACTAATTTTAATTGGCTCGTGTCATTGATCGGCCGCGGATACCTTAGGTGACATCACGTTCCGTTTACGTATACGTCGCGCAACGCTTGTCATCCCCGTGCGCGAGAATCTCACGCCGTACGTGCCGGGAATGCGCCCGTCGCGAACGGCTAAATTAGATATGAGAGCGAAGCGCGGTTGCGCCTCGCGCGAGCTCCGGGAAATGCTCGCCTGCCTTAAAAATATTACGGAAGCACGATGATTAAAAAATCAAGTAAGAAGAGAGGAAGGAAAAAATTTGCTTGGGGAAAAAAACAGAACGTAAATTCTATTCAAGGATCGCGTAAATTCCGTCTGCGACTGTACATTGAATTTGGCTCTCTCTTTCTCTCTCTCTCTCTCTCTCTCTCTCTCTCTCTGCTTTCCCGAGCTCTTAAAATTCTTGTTTCGTTGCGTTTCAGTGGTCCTCCTTTCAAAATTTTATACTCTCCTAGCGGATGATGACCTCGCCTCGAAGCGTCTCACTATTGTGTCTAGATACCCGAGTCCACGTTTCGCCACCCGCATCTGGTTCATACGTGCCTTCGCTTCCTTCTGTTTACCTTCCTCCGCCAAGGATGCAAACAGCAACAACTTCACATGTTTTGTTTCAATTCAGACCCAGAATCCAAGACTCTTTTCGCGTCGGACTCAAGTACGAGGCCGAGACGAGGCGACTCCTTCGGCTCGAGGACCGAAACGAAGAGTGAATTCGTTATGGTTTCAGTTCATGTCCGCGATATAACGTAGTTGTAGGATAAAAGCTGACCGAGAGCTGTCAACGTCGAGGTCTCTTGAAAATTTCCTTTTTCGAAATAGGAAAAGATATCAGAGAGGAACGCTTTGCAATGGTAAACGTGACTGACGGAACTTTAAGATACTTTTCTTGAAATGATACAATTTCAAAATCTGAATATACCACTTTTCTGTTCTTTTTTACGCGCGATCGATTTCTACGCTAAAAGTAGCATAAATATTTTAAATATATATATTAATTAATATTTAATTGGTATATTTTTTAAGTAAAATTTTGAAAAATGCGTGATATCTATTAAGATAATTTTAAGTTTCATTTGTAACAAAGATAAAATAAGCAACGTTGAGCGCAATGTTTTATAACTAAAGTTTAACGTATCACACTTTACGAACAAACTTTGGTTATTACTCTGCAATTTTATTAAGCGTCAAAGTGTCAGCTATTAATCATTAATCGGCCAATACGATACGATACGATAAACGACAAACGTATGAGGATATATTCGACGATGCGCGTCGATGCTCATATAACAAAGAAACGTTGAAGCACTCGTGACACCTGGTACAGGAACGAAACCGCGACGAGTCGGATTCAGTTACTGTTTGCATGCCTGTTTTCTCGCGCTCTCTTCTCTTTCCGCGATTTAAATTCCGACACGGGGAAAAAAAGTCCGATTTCCCGTCACTAACGCTGCATTTCTTTCTTACAAACGAATACAGAATGTCAGCGGCCGAGCAGCTCCGACACGCGCCGCACACAGCCGTGCCGGGAGTCACGCCGGCACCGCCGCCGTACACGCAGGCAATGAGAATGAATAGCTTGAATACCTTGAACGGCGCTGGCCCGCAGGTTGGTACAAAGTGAAATGTATGTCAAATTCCTAAACGTAGTTACGCCGACGCCGTAGTGCTGTGGTGCTTCGTGCAACTTGGGGTAGATCGGGAGCAAACTGTCAATATTGCAAAGCCATTGCAACTGCGCGCGCGCTACTTTCATTTTGCAACGCTAATCCTTTCCCGTACGGCCCCATTCCAATTCCCCGACGCACGTAAATTTCTGCTGTAAATTGTTTTTGCCTGTTCTCTGTATCGCATGCCTTCGCGTAAGATACGTAAAGAAAAAAAAGCTCCGCTTGAAAAAAGAAAAATAAATTAAAAATCTGGTAGTCAGGTAAGTTGTGTTTTAAGCACGGTTGAGTTTCATCGACGGTCCGGATTTAATCTCGGAACATATAAGCGCGGTATTAAGGGATATATGCATATTAATATGGGTTTTGGTAATTACGCGGATGCGCATAGATTATGATAAAATTGATTTATATTTTGTCCTTCTACGTTGTTTATTTCTTTAACTTTTATTAGACAAAATTCGCAATAGCGATTTATTATTTTTCACTTACATTTTTTTATTTATCTTAAGCATACTGATTATACGTGCATGTTTATGATCGAAGCAAACGAAATGAAAAACAGGCAGCGTAGTGTAGTATACGAGCTATTGAGCGAAATAATAATATAAACCAGTAATAATATCACACATTTGATAAAGTGCAATGTTTAGTCACTATGGCAAAAACGTAAAATTATCAATTTTTTTTGTTCTAGAATCGTAGAAAAAGTACCATAATAACGTAGCTGAAATTCGTATTACAGTTTCGCAAATCCTTTTATTTCCCGAAATGAGAAAAAATATGGCTTTTATCACTTTTCCGCTCGCATATTACTCGCTGTTTTCATACTGTATAATTCAATCTTTGCACTATTTGAGGCTTTATAGTTTAATGGATATAGATGGAAACATTAGCTAGAATATCTGTTTTATGTTTCTATGGAGATGATGTAATTAAATATGTGTGTTACGTATCATAAAAATATATTAATGGTACTTCAACTTTTATACATGTACGAAAAAGCATACAAAATCAGAGGAAAAAAATAATTTTACTTATATTTTTTTATAATTTTCTCTATAATTGATATAATCTTGATTTTAGAAAATCAAAATCTGTAGAATCTGTAATTGATCTTCTATTGAGCAAACTTATCAAGCAATTAATTCAGCATTACTCGGATTTTTTACTTGCACGTCTATGTACATATCTTTAATTAACAAGTATCTTTCTCGATTCAAAAAAGGTTTAAAATAAATAGATAAAAGAAATTATATATTTTTCCTTAAATTTAACCAAGAGAATATATCGTAGTTAGAAACAAAGTAGTATCTGTAGGATTTAACCAGCGCCAGCGGGTTCAATGGTCGATAATGTGACTCAGAATCCTGCGTTTCTTTTTGTTTTGTAGGCCCCATTGTCAGCGCATTACATCACCGGCGGTCCAAACGGGGCCATGGCGACGGTGAAGCGCACATCCGCGGTGGGCACGTTAGCGACGCACGTATGAGGCCAGGGGATCTATCCGAATTAGAACCGTCGATACTCGGGCCTAACTGAAACCACCTTCGAACTCGGCCGTACCCTCGAGACGCCCCGCTACTTGCTCGGTCCGCGCCCGGCTACGCTAAGATCGACGACGCGCGACTCGCGACGTCTCGTTGATGTATCGGAACAAAGTCAATGTCGTTACGACGAGACCCGCCACGCTCACGACACGGAACGTTATAGAGCGGAATGCGAGCGACTTATGGGACGAAGGTCGCAGGGCAGTTGGGGCAGCAGGGGTCACGGCGGGGTCACGGGCCGAGCACAACGAATGGCGGAGAATGGCGAGGCGCTCAAATATATCGAGTTGGTGCTTCGGCAGTTGCAAAGGGCCAGCAGAGATCATCAAGAACTCGTGCGGCAACGTCACGCGGACGTCCAATACGAGATCGGTAAGCGAATCAACGAGAGAGTCTGGCATCATCGTTATCATCATCATTATCGAGATGGACGCGAGAATTCGACGGACGGGTCTAGAACTTGGTCCAGGTCCTCGAGCAGCCCGTGGCAATCGGACTTGACTTTGAGGAAAACGCAACCGGACGTTACAACAAGATTGCTGACGAAGAGAAGGGATTACGGAGGAACGGCGCAGACCACAGTCGACATTCTAAGGCCGGTCCCAGGACGCGCTCGGGATGGAATAGCTGCCTCTTATCAAGAGATGAAATACATTCCCGAAAGTGTTGGCTGGAAGGGCGCGCGGGATACGTTCGGTGCGTGGAGTCTTGGAGGTTCGTCGAGCAACGATCGAAGGACATCCTCCACCGTCGTTTAACGCGAGGAAGATCGGCTTTGCGCCGACCAAGTTTGTCGATTTCGGCAAGAGGGTTGCGAAGGAACGTGGGACACTTGAAAGACTCGAGATGACGCGGAGACTCTCTCGCGAAGGAAGGAAGGTATCGACGAGGAAACCTTCGTCGACGAGCGACTCGTTCACGTTTAATGATACGCTTGCGCTAAGATTGCATCAATCGAAATCAAATCTATCTCGCTGCGCGATGATGAACGCACGCTGAAGAGATGGCTGCGAAAGGGACGCCGATATCGAAGGGAACGGACGTACTCTCCTTTTGGGTCAATAAGATTAGATTTAGGACGACGAAGAGCGCCGTGAGTAGTGCTCGGAGGATATTCGTGAGTACGAGGGGGGGAGGGACGATGTTGGTTGGGTTCGTGGATCGAAGGTACTCTCTTCGGTCGGTGGCGAAAACAGACCACTCGGTATCGACAATCTTCTATTGACGTACTTTAGATCTTCTATATAATAAGCGTTTAATAAGACTCGCTCGAGCGGAAAGCGACGGGAGACGGAAGGTCCGAACGAATCACGTCGCGAATTGTTGCTGTCGCGGTGGTAGCCGAATATCGGGAGATATGTCGACGTGATCGACGGCGCGGTCATTTTCCGAAACCTCGAGGACCCTCTTCGAGGCTAGAAGCTTTATCGTGGAAGCCGCTTTCCCGGTAATTCGTGAGCCGAAGCTGGGTTTACGTTTGACATTTACAACGCGACGATTCTATCTGACACTGCCCTTATTAGCGAGGATGCAACAACGGGAGTAGTTATTACCTCTTCGTAGCATTTCACCCTATTCTTTCTCGATGATCTCTCAGTTATTATTTCTGACAATGTATTTCTCAAACTTTTAAGTACACTTCACATATAATTTCTCAATTGTTAAGTACACTTGATGAAGTTTAAGTATAAAAAAAATATGATAAAGAAGTAACTTCGGAGATTTTCCTTCGCAGCTACAAAATTAAAAAATTGACTTTCATGCCTCTACTAATAGGTTTTTTTCTTTTTTCAATAAAACATTCGGAATGTTTCGGGATGTTCACATTACACGTGGTAACACCATCGAATATGTACTCGACGAATGTCAGGCGCAAACCCATGCACCGTAACGAGAACAGTCTCGGCTGCCACTCCGATGTTCACTGTGTCGCGCTGCCTTTTTGTATTTGTAGGGAAAAAAAAATAATGAGAGATTTTAGCTTATAAGGGATGTGCTCGTGCAACATTCGCAGACTTAAGGGCGCACGTTAAGGATTAACGACGACGCCGCGGCGGCCACGTGGCTTATACGTTAGCGACGATAGATCGCGACAAGTTTCGTGGCTTCGCGTTTCCTCCGGCCTCAAGTTCCACGTGCGACGGACAGGTAATTAGTAAGCGCGGGTTCGCGCTAAAGGAAATCGGCACCGCGTGTTTTGCGGCTGTTCGCATTTGTAAGATAGATAGCGAAAATCATTAGGTATACATACATAAATATATTATACACCTGTTGTCAATATGAGCATAGGGCCTATATATAGTTTGATGGCACTACGTGAAAGCGAATTCTATTTGAAATAAGCTCGTTCGCGCGGGATGGGACGGCTTCGTGTAAATAACTATTGATAAATGATTATTATGTACGTGTAAAAGAAAAACGTAAAAACGGGAAATACGAAACGGCGCGATGTCCTTCGGCGTCGTAGTTTCGTCATGCATTTTTCCAAAAAAGAAGAATGACGAGAGCGCGCGACTAGATTCGCGCTCAATTTTACTCTCTCGTAACGCATTATGTTGTCATCCTTTCCATTGCATATGTTGCTTTCACTGCGACATGCCGTGGCTCGTTACCGAGGATCGGTTGACATAGATTCAAGAAAAAGATTTTGATAAGTTCATTTCTTCGTTTCGACGCCATGAATTGCAATTTTATTAATTCTTTTATCCGTATCATTGGTATCCTCAAAATAAGTGATATGTGACTTACGATTTAAGAAACCAGCTATTATCAGCGAGATTAAAAAAATCAAGTGAATTTAATTTTCAGATTTAGGTCTTCCATGAGATGTCTCTAAGTTTAAAGTTCTAAAAAATAATCGCTCTGAAAAATCTACGAAAAACGCGACTTATCAAATTATGTCCCACCCCCATTATGTCTTACATTCGCCATTCCTCGGGAACGATCGACGGCGCGAGCGATCCTCGATTTATTATAGTGCGACCGAGAAAAACGTGTCCTGAAAAATATGTCGTGATGTACAGAGCGGGCATAGGGGATACCATTCATAATGATAACGAAACAGGGTAGCCTATCAATTATTAAGACAATTTCAAAAATCGAAGGCTGCACATTACAGACTGGGCCGTATCCTGCGGCAACAGGATAACGATTAATCCGCGCGAGAGTAACCCTCGGCGATTCGTACTACCGTACGAGGGGGAGAGAGGGCGAAATTATTATTAAACGATACCGATCGTCGCACGTTGAGGAGCTAAAATTCCGACTGCGAATGCGCATACACATTCGCGCGTCAAGGAGATATCTTTATATCGTAACGTCTGTAACATAACACTTCTGTACATATCTGGAATTATTGCTCACCGTATCTCGTAAGATTTAGTTAGTTTTGTAACTGTGAACCACTATGTGCATACATACTTCACTTTATGAGAGGCGCCTCGTGACGAATGTTTCGCGATAAAGAGACAGAGTCTCGAGTCATACGAAAGGACATCAGCCGCGTCTCTCTTTCTCTCTTACGAAAGTATTTCGTAAATCTGACGAAAAGTTATACGGCTTATATCCTAATAATGACCGTGACTTTTTTCTCTCGAAGCGAAAACGCGTCGTCGAAGTCACGACGTAGGCAAAGGCTTTAACGATGGCTTTAATTTAATATTAACGCACCGAATGTACTAACATCCTTCTTAACTGTCGTCCACGTGGAGGAAAGCAGAGCTAACCCGTGTTAGACCTTTAAGCTATATTATTAATTGAAATTATCCCCTTTCCTGTTACAACGTCGTTCTTTTTTCTCTTGCGTGCCGGCAACACAAACTTTCGGCTTACTGAGAACAAGTGGGAAAGAAGTGCGATACTTTAATTAAAGACTCCGTCGCTTACGATAACGTGGAAACTTTTTAATTTCGCGTGAATGACAGTTAATTGCAGTTTCGTCGACGCGTTGTCAAATCATCGATGCAGGCCGTTGACAGGGATTACGCGAATCATCCATCCGGGGTTTCGCTTCTCGTGCATCATTCGATCATTCTGTACAATGTTCACGCCGATGTTATTGTTAACTATTTAAGATCTCGGAATCTTCAGTTCAGGGCGCGCACATGACGGCACCATGTGTGCGCGCGCGCGCGGAATGGTGAATAATGCATATATAAATATCGTGCTTGTGCAAGAGTGGTACTCTCCGAATGCCGAATGTACGGACGACGGGTGGCGGGGAGGAGATGATCGCCGGAGAGGCTCATCGCGAGTACATTCGGCACGAGAAGTTAAACATACAGAAGTTACATACGATTTCTATTATAACAAAGATGAAAAAAAAAAAGAGAAAAAACGTAGATTAAAGAGGTATACACGCGAGAAGTAACTACAATCAATGTACTGGATGGTCCGTGTGGCGATGTTAAAATTAGAAAAAGTTTATGTCGTTTGAATCTTAGGAGTTTACGCCTTTTCTGCCGTAGGACCATCCTATACGTATTAATTGGTTATCTGTCAATTATTAATTGAATTATATCAATTTCTTCGCCTTTAGTCAAGGAACGCGGGGAATGGGTGTAGCGTGGATGGCGCGATCGCGTTGTTGTAAAGTCAAATTTCCTAGGCAATGTAAGAGAACATGGTCCCTTTAGCGAAACGCGACCCCGTTCGCATAACGAAAGACGATAATTGCCTAAGGGAGTGGACGAGAATTTTTCAAATTTGTTGATACTTTTCATACTTTACGACTAGGGATTATGGCCTATTACTACTATTACGCAAAGTTTATCCGCCGGCTCGGCCGTTTTCATTCGTCCTCAGCCGCGTTCCGTGCGATCGTAGAGCACGTTTCAAATCACGTCGAAATGCAAAACTGTAAATAATTTCATCGAAATAATACCTTAGAACGGCATACGTCGTGTATCCTTTGATCTCACACTTTAATATAACTTCGCTTACCTACATTTATATTAATAATTTTATTTTTCTATATTTGACGCTTATTTATTGTCGATTAACGGGTTTCAAATTATTATTTTAGTAATCTATTTAAAACTAGCGATCTCACACTTTAATATAACTTCACTTACCTACATTTGTATTAATAATTTTATTTTTCTATATTTGGCGCGTATCCATTGTCGATTAACGAGTTTCAATTTATTACTTCAGTAATCTATTTAAAACTAGCGTTTTTTTAACACTGAGATCTCATAATTTTATGATTTACATACAAAATTCCAGTCTCTCGACTGCTGCATAAAATGTATATAACGGTATATAAATTTCATAGCTCTTTTAGTAGGCTTCAAAGTTATGCGCTACGACTGCATGAATATGCTAGACGCTGAGAGGATCAAATTAATTAAAATGCAAATGAAATCAGTAAATGCCGCGATGTTGAAGAGTTAAAAAGAACCGAACCGAACGGGCATAAAAAAATATGGCGAGTATGCCTTTCTAGGGTAATGTGCCCGACTTTGCTCCCCCGTCTTATAAATCGCGAGTATTAAAAAGGGTCGAGTCGGCTAAGAGATTCGTGAATGAAAAAGTGACTTTTTAGGAGAATGAAAGCGCTCTCTTCGCGTGCTACTACGAGCTGCGTAACGTGGCAATGGATTACGTGAATATAATCTATTTCGAATTCGACTGAACGACACACATAGGAGATAATATATACCCTCATATTTTTCTCGATGTTAAGCTTTTTCTCAGAAACGTATATGGAACGTATACGTGAGTCTACGCGAATCAATCGGAAAAAAACGGGACGTCGTCGTCGTCGTGCGCGTCAATCGACATTGACGTGCATCACCGGCGACGGATGCAGCTGATCGTTTTCAAAGTGTGAACTGTGAACCGTGAAACCCGATTCAGAATGATCACTTTCGCTCAATTACCGGGAGGAACGCGTTTATTTCAGCGACAACGGAGATCCTTTTGCCGAAAATAAAAAGAAAATATTAAAATTTCTTCCGCGGTCTTCTCGCGACCGCCACTGTTACGGTTAGAGGGAGGGAAAGCGGGAAATTAAAAGAGTAGCCATCTGCGAAAAGTCTATGTTACGTATCTTCCGTGTGTGTATGTGCAATGTATTGTGTGCATGTGTGCGTATGTGCGTGCGTGTACCGTGATCATTTTTCAAAGGAAATCAGATCTGTCAAATTGATTACGCATTCGACGCAATTGATTGCATTTTAATATCGTTAGGAACGACACTCTCGCGTACTCGGGAACAAGTAACTGACGTCAATCTGTCATTTTGTTTACTTCGCGATACGTCGCGCAGATGTAGGGCAATAATAAGGAACGTTATTCCGAAATCGGTCAGAAAAAGCGCTAATAGCAGAGAAGAAAATTTCTAGGCGCGAGAAAGATAGGCCGCAATTGTTTGCTATTAAGTAACTTTCTTATAAGAATTATCGTAAATCAAATGTGAAGACTCTTCAGATTTCCATTTTCCAACTTTGATATATCAGTACTTAGTTCTCTAAATAAAAACTTAATTTCTTTTACTATCCGTGATCTTCTTACACGGAAATATTTCAATAAGGTTTCTCTACGGAAACGATACGTTAATGAAATAAATTAATTTATCGATATCCGCGAAAATCATATCGGAGAAACTAAATGAAAATTAACAAGCGTATTCCCAGCGTGCAACGCAAAGATGCACAAATCAATTAGATCGATAAATTGCCATGTAAAGGGTACAAAAGAATTCTTGTACCGTGATTTGACGGCGACTAAAGCACCTCGTATCTCATAATTTACACATCGCGAAACATATCCACTACGTATTTAAACGCTGATGATATTAGCGACATTTACTGTAGCGTGATTACTATATGATATTGCCGAGTTGATGGCAATCAACGTGATTTACAAAATAGAATTTCCCCGTGAATGCAGAAACATAATCGTATATAAGGTGACACGTTGTTTTACTCGACGGTACAAGAACTTTTGTTAGAAGTATTATATCTGGTGACGAATAAACTTCGAGAAACGATCCTTTTTTCGGATCAAGCTCGCCGACCATTTCTGAACTGATAACTTTTATCGATTAATTAATTCTTATTACAGCGGCTTGACAATTAGCACTCTCTAAATCTTGAAACATATATCAATAGAAAATTATCATTGTGATAGTGACTAGTTCAAAAGCGATGTAAAACACCAACAAAATAAGTATAAAGATTGTCTTGCTTTCTTGTTTTGTCACAGACATAAATTCGTAGGATTCATTTAATTTTGTTCTTAGACAATCGACTCTATTCGACCAAGTTTCTTCGTCAGCATAACGAAATCGCACAAACTAAATATAGAAAATATGAAATCACATATTAATCCACTACAGACTGAATCGGAAAAGAATGCGTTTACATCGCAGTATCAAGCACTTTCTTATCAGCGCGTATAAATGTACTTCCTATCGAAGAAAGAGCCAAAGTTGAAATTCAGATTTTTCCCAATGCCGAATCTACAATAAACTCGCGAGTTTGACGCATTTAGTGCGAGAATAAATTTCATTTTGAAATGACGTGCGTTCAATTAAAGGTACGTCAGACACAAGACACAACACGCCCGAACGCATGTAACATATCATGTCCATTTACTCGTTCGTATCGCGGAGCCTCGATTGCAATTACCGCTATCGATTAAATTAAGATTGAATTCCGAATTCCTCGCATGTACCTGTAGCATTAAAAAAAAAAGAAGAAGAACAAAGGGCGTGAGTGGACGCCGACAGAGATTATATACACGCAATGTTCGCACAAGATCTTCCGTTAAAAAAGATATGAACGAACGAGAGAAAGAGAGAAAAGGGAATGAATGAGAACACGTTAGCGTGAAAGAGAAGAAAGAATGAAACATTTTTTGCAATAGCGTGCTTTCAATATACGTTGAACGCGAGGACTAAAAATCGGTATACATCTTCGGCGGTTTCAATTTCCGCGAGACGGTGCATCGAGAAACGTAAACCGAGTGAAATTATACCGATTTCAAGCCCCTGATTAAACGCTAATCTCGACGGATTGCATGTACAGTAAATAACGACGTAAGTGTAAGAGAAAAATTGCCATGGCAATTCGTAACTGTCTCGCGCCGAACGTGGCGGGAGGACTTGAAGCGCTTACCGTATTATCCAACGGCACGGTATTGCAAAAACTCTCTAATGCGAGTGAGTGAGTAAGTCTGAGAACTTTACAACGCAAAGTGGTCAATCTATTTCGATATGACAGTGTGCCAATAATTCTTCATCCCATTGTAGCTAAACGTACATCACGTTTTTTCATTCGTTTCACCGTAACGAGGTCTCGGGAATCCGATCGCGGCCGCGTAATCGCATTTTTATTCGTCACACGCATGATATTAGTATATTACCGTAAGAGTGTAAGTACAAAAATATTACGACCTATTTACTTTCGAATTTTCACGTTTCTTGCACGGTAGAGCCGATTATAGATATCACCCGTATCCCATCATTCCCCTTAGCTTATCCGGATACATCTTTTTTTTTCACACCGCGGCGAAATCTCTATCTTATTTGTCTTATGCACGAGTGAGGACAAAGCACGATTTGCAACGATGTAAATTCGTATAAAGCTGTATCAGAAGTCCCCTTAAACAGAGATTTCTGACGATTTTAAGCTTCAAGCGTGAGAATAGGTAGCAAATTCTAAAAAAGAAATCTTCCACCTAATTTTAAACGAACTCTAACAAAAATTAAAAGCCGAATAGCAATTATACGTGTTTAAAACGCATATTTGTGATAGAGAATGATGTGCAATTCAACCTTTTTCTGTGTAAAAAGAAAATTAATTTCAACGTCGCGATAAAGGAATTATCATCGGGAGGATGTGCGCAATTTCTGATACACCCTCGTACATTTACGCGGAGCGTATTTCTTTTCAATCGTGTAAAAAGCCAAAGAGATTTTATTTTACGTTACATTACATGTGTATTATTTGAATTACGTCATGTACGTGGTCGCATGATTTGTGTGCACGTTCAACGAGTGCTTTAATTACTTTATTATTAATTATTTTTTTACACACGCATATTATACTTCCGCATGAGACTGGTGTAACTCGACGTATTAACGTATTAACGTTTTTATGAAATTTTTAATTAATTTTGCAGTCCCTTTAAAGTTTCCTTTTTAAAGCAAAATTCTTTTGCTTTATCTAATGAATCATGTCTTCTTCTTGATAAAGATATAAGATAAAGATAAACAATAATAGGTCAATTATCCATAATTATCAATTATGGTCAATCAAAGCGCTTAAAAGATTCTGTTGTTAATATCCTCGAAAATACTGTGCTATAATTATTATCGCTAAATGAGATTAATTATTATCGGTATATGAGATTATTAAAATATATAATTAAATATCGCACCCTTATCGAATCATTTTAGTTGCACCAATCACAGATTTTGGAAATATAATATCTAGAAATGTGTTTTAAAAAACGCAATTTTTACTAGCAATACGATTTTATAGCTTGAAGGACACATATATATAAATATATATATACACACGATCTATTTTATCATGATGTACATTTTATCTCTTGGTGATCGCATTTTCGTGCAAATAATTATGTAGTAATGATTATTATTATTATTATTATTATTATTATTATTATTATTTTGTTATTTGTAATCCATTTACGTACTTATCATTAAGCGAATGTAGTGCCGTTTATTTCATGTTTCCGTAGAATGTAATATGTACATATATACATCGCCGATGTTATTATATTTTATTAAATATCTGCCATAACATAGTCCACGTTAGTCTGACATTTCCCTTCGTTCTCGTATCATATTTTTTCTTGACTCATACCTTGGATATTGCGGCACGCTATTTTTTTTATGCTCCCTTATCCAGTGCGCAATTATCGATGCGTCGATATATTGGAAATTACATTGTATCTCGCTTCCGCGTAACGTTGTATATGTTTCTCATTTTGTGCGAGGCCGAGATGAAACAAGGTAATCTTTGTGCGACCAACGTTGCATCGTTGCAAAGAAAATGCTAGGAGCAAACCCCGAGCCAGCCGTCTTTCTTAAAAGAGCACATTAACGTATGCATCGGTGCACCCATTCTATTCAGTACCGGCGCGTATAGGGTCAAGCAGAGTAATTGTGACACTAAGATAATAGTGACATGGCAACAATAAGAGCAATAATAATTATAAAGTCATTGGATTACGATGGCACTTCATTCGGGCGTCATAAAATTCTTTTGAAAAGCGACGATTTATCATTTGTCTCTCTCCATCCTCGAAAAATTGTTGCGATATTACGTTTAACTTAGTATCGCAGTTAGGCGACCCAAAATCTTTCGCAGAAGAGTATCAATGAAGAGAAAAAAAGATTACGAGATATTCCGCGAGAATGTTCGAAACTTGTTTCGCGTTCACGAAGTTTTCGTTCGATCTCCAGACGACGTGGAGTGGGTCGGATTAATCGGGATTATACGCTACAAGACTACAAAAAAGAAAAAAAAAAGAAATTTGCTACGCTAATCGCTTTATTCTTGAGTGGCACGCTCTAAAGTGTTCTTTTCCAAAGTATTTGGCTTTGCGCGAGCAAGTGAAAGACGATGAATTTGCACTTTCCATGTATGTGCCTCGGAAAGCAAGACTTTCGTTGCCGTATTCGCCTAAGTATAGTCTTCTATATCTCGCGTACATAATCGCGTACGATTCCTTTTGTATACTATCGATAATTTTTTCAGGGAAGGCTTAACGAGACGGTGGATCGGTTTGTGAATAATGTAAAACATTTCCCTCCGGGGGAAGGGTAACTTCCGGGCCCCGCGGCCAAGATGGAGATTATTTATAATTTTTATCGCTTCAATCGCGGTGGCCTGTACTTTCATTCTCTGCGTGACCCGGAACTTCACCCCCCGATGTTATCCGGACTGATCTCCGTGCAAACGTTTCGCGCAGGCGTTTGACGAAGATCAGTTGTGTGTATCCGTTTCAAGAAAGAGAGAAAGAGAACAAATAAAATAGATTACTTCATATAGCACACAGTTGAGCAAACTGTAATGAAAGCAATGAAAGAAAATAATGCTATTTTTATATGTTGCACTTCATCATCATCTCCGCCGTAAAATGACCCGTAGTTATATAAAAGAGAGGATCTATTTCGGTTTCCTTTTACTTTTGGATCCATTGGGCCATTTCGTGTCGCCAAAAAAATCTCGCCGAAAATAACATCCGTGGAACAATTCGAGAAAACGATCCGACACCTCTGTGTGTATCAAATCAAACGTAGTTACATTCAGAAATATGTAAGCAGATTCTTTCTCTTCCGTTTTATTTGAAAGTTAGCAAATATATGTAGATTTAGATGATATCAAAGCGATTTGATAATAGTACTTCAAGCGCCTTTATTTTATGTGTACGCGTCAAATATTTCCGCGGATCATTATACGAATAGACTGTGGTGACAGAAAAATTCAAATGCAATTTGCATACCGTTATTCGTGCGCGATCCTGACAAGAAATGACCCAATAATATTACCGTCATGATATTTAGCAGCTTAGAACAATCGAATCGATGAAGAAATATCTCCAGGAAGATGATCCAAGAGATGCTCTTGCTCACGATTAATCTAGATTACTATAGTAAGAGATTTACGATTATTGTATTATTACTAAAATATATCTACATTCCTTTTCAGAATCTACCACTATTACTTTACGAAGCTATCTGTAAATAAGTATTTTGTATTCCTGCAAAAGAATAAAATTAAGAATCATTATAACTCGTCTGATATTTTTAACGCCGATATAAGTACCGCGTAGACTAATGAAAGTGATACTTTATAAATAATCAGACTTGTAGATAATATGTGCTTTTTTATTAAAACTTAAATAAATTCAAGTTTTTTGAACAATCTACCATCTGCTGCCCTAGGTATTTTCCAAGAATTAATAGTACAGGATGTCAGAAAATTACAACTCTAAATTTCTTGTTGTTACTTATTGAAAGTTCAAAAAAAAAGAACTCTTATAAATAGATAATCTGTTTACATCGTGTTTATTTAATAAAAATTAAAGAGATATAAAAATAAGTGACAATTATTTAGCTCAACAAAAATCGACTTCAGTTTATGCAAAGAATTTATTACAAGATTTGTGACTGCAATTTTGACATCCTGTACGTACATAAAATTAATACAATTCTGTGTAATTTGTTTTCAAGTTATAATTGATTGTGCAATTCTTTTACGCCATATTATCGCACATTATGATCACTTAAAAACGTATATAAGAAGATATTCCATTGATCTCTGTTATATTTTTTAATTATTTATTTTTTATGATATATGTACAGAATAATGTACAGAATATCCCATTGAGATAAATATTATAGTATAATCAACTTTTATAATTAAGATAAATGTCAATTATAATTAACTTTTATAATGATGAATAATATCTACTAAAACTTTTACATTAGCAGCAAAAAATAGAAGACCAGATATCCAAAGAAAAACGAACGAATTAAAACTTTGGAATTCTAGCATGTAAGCGACTAACAACCAAATAACTTGACTTAAAATCCAAAAACACGCCAAACACGTGCCCCTACGCAGGCTCATTTCGATATTTGGCAGACACAGAGGTAACAACGACAGAAACCAGAAGAAATACTGGGAAGTTATCACCGGATTATACATCACCGCGATTATCGCCTGGACGAACATAGCGAATGGCAACTTGGATTTTTCTGAATAGTAATATGACGACATCAACAATAGTAATAACTGAGGCAGAAACGTAAGGACCTTCTGAATCACATCCTGTGGTTGATTAGCGGATAAATAGAGCATGTAGAAATATACGGAAAAATTGTGCCTGGTGTCTTTACGCACTAAATGATATATAAAACTCTCGTACAAGAATTTAAAGCCATACAGGCAATAACCCGTGCCTGTTAATATAACAATCGAGAACGCGCAACTCAGCACGAGCTTCCATTGGTCCCTGTTCGGTAGGAAACGATTATCTTTACACAGAGACAAAAACATGGGCAAACTGAACATTAATGGATACAATCTGAAATGTACAGATATCCCATGTAGCAATCCGGCCGATACAATTTTGTCTCTCTGTAAAAAATCCAATGTGAGTGCAACTAAAAGTACTGCCAATGAATCTGCGTTACCTCTCGTCGAGATCACCAATGTTAACGGATTATAGAGCCATAGGAGCGCGCAGTTATCTCTTACGATATTATTACATCTCTGTCGCGCGAGAATATTTCTAATTAGAACCGCAATCAGTATATCTACCGTGGAAAATAAAATCTTTCCGAAGTCCTTGTGCAATATGATATTTGGTGTCAAGAGCCAAGCCAGAAAAGGCGAATAGCGGTAAGTATGACGGTCGAACGGTGATCTCCGTTCTACCACGTGCCTAGCGGCGTCAGTAAATACTTTATAGTCCACATCTGTGTACGGCACTGCGAAGTACTCGTCGTGAAAGTTGGCGTACAGTATCAAAACTAATCGTAGAACAAACGCCAGTAAACAATGCGACGTAAATGACGAGATACTTATTTTAGCGCGTGTCGCAGTCATCATTTTCGTACGGTTAAAGGTGAGGCGTTAAATCAAACACACAGAAACCCCACTGATCCAATCATCAAGCTCGTTTATAATCTCGTATTACTGCTCGCAGCGGCTTTAACAAGACATTTTTTCAATTCGTTGAACTCCGCGGCGCAAGCGTTCTTTTCTAAATTGGATTTCGCTAATACGCAAGACGCGTACTTTGACGCCGAATCTTGACACCGAGCTAACAGAATCGGATATTGTCTCAATCTCTGCTTCGCTTTTTTTACAGCCTCCATTCTCTTACGCAAACAGATAACAGATTTACCCGAACTCAAAATCGATCGGAAAGATCAATTTTTTTCATGTTCTCTGGCGGTTTAGCAAAGAAAATGTCGTAAATTGGTTTGCTGAATATCATACACATAGCAATCGCTGTACCTGAGAAAACAAATATTCGTGGATAACGGTACATAAATCCTCTTTTCGGCACTATCCTTCTTCTCCCTTCGTTTTGCATCGCTTATCTTATAACTTTTCGCTGAAAAAACGTTAGTAAAGTTGAAGATTATAGAATGAAGTCTATAATTGTCGAGAGGTATTGCATCTCTCTGATAAAAGACAAGATTCTATATTTTGATGAAACAAATATCAGACTTACGTAATCTACGGTATTATGCTCGTATGGTTTCGAGGTATTTATGCCGTCGCAAACTGTAGAGTTAGCAGAATTTTTTAAGCAACACTTTCTAATTTCTTCAAGTACGTCTGCACAACGGGAAGGCTGGAACACATTGTCTAAGAACAGAAATATTATTATTATTGAAGTATTATTCCATATTTATTTAATAAAAACTTAAGCATGCATTTATTATATCAACTATGTAATACTAATCGAGATATCAGCTAAATTCATGCGATTTTCATGCTCAGTTCAAAAGGAGAGGTTAGAAACCTATTATGTTTCCTAGTACTTCGATTAAATTAGATTATACAAACCGTTTAAGCATTTCTGCAATTTACATGCAATTTGTTTGCAAGGATCGGCGGTCGTCATGCAAAATAATTACAGGGTTCTTTAATTCTTCCTTGTAACACGCTGCACGGTGCAATCTTACATAACTTTAGCCGGCATTACATGGAACATGGAATTGATGGAATGGCACTACGACTACGTGCTAAGTGCTTTGTGAAACGGCGGCCGGCCAATGCCGCGCTCGCATGCCTTCTTTACCAATCGCGTCAATTATCTGTAGTTTCTCCTTTCGTAAATGTGCGGGGAAACACGGTGCAGAGAGTGAGGGAGTGCAACTGGAACGTACAGACTTTTAGATGACGTATACTAAGAATGAAAGAAAAATAGAGATATGCTCGATGCTATATACTTTTCATCTCTCATTGTCTAATTGTTAAGTGTTCTCCAGTGCTGAAATGTTATCATTGGGATGTTTACTGTGTTACGGAGTACTGCTGGCTGCACTCGTCATAATTTTGGTATGCTCAGGTTATCTTACACTTGTTTCTTTTTCAATTAAGACGTCACCCTAATTAACAATTTAAAAAATAATTCTATTATGCACTTTTATTCTGTACAATCGTATAAAATACAATGAAATAATTATTCTTTTAATACAATGGCTTTTTACAGAAGTGTACGTGTCTGTTTTAGTGTTTTGTAGTGATATACGTGACGAGCGAGCGATATCCCAGAATCTCGAGGGATGAAAGTGAAAAGTTCTTTCTCGACTGCAACACAAAGAGAAGGGAGGCATTCCCTTCGTTACACGATCCCTGGAGCGTACATCTCAGTGTCATTATACCTGCTTACAATGAGGAACAAAGACGTAATATTCGTTGCATATGTATTATTTCTAGGCGTTATTATGTGTTATTTATTAATTTTACTTTTATTTAACAGTGCCTCCAATGTTGGACGAATGTCTGGAATATTTGGAGGAACGTAGCAAGTCTGGATTAACTTACGAAGTGATAGTAGTCAGTGACGGCAGTAGAGACAAGACTGTAGATTTTGCACATAGTTACGCGTCAATATACAATACTATAAGAGTACTGAACCTTGTAAAAAATAGAGGAAAAGGTGGTGCTGTAAGATTGGTTAGTAATTCTGATGGAGCTAGGAAGCTTCATTGTTGTTAAGTAAGTCAGTTTTACATTGTCATATCATTATTTAGAATTATTGTATTTTAATTTATTCAAGGGTATGCTGAGTGCGAGAGGTAGTGCTTTATTATTCGCGGATGCAGATGGTGCTACCAAGTTCAGTGATCTAAAAAAGTTAGATGAGAGTTTAACAAACGTTCTAGGATGTAAGTTGAAAAGAAATTAAGATTTTGATATTACATTTAATTTCTTATATTTAATAATTCTCTAATGGTCCTAATAGAGAGCTACAGATTACAATATTAGAGTATTATTAATTCTAATCAATTTATTTCAGTCGATTACACGAGCAAGCCTGAGGAAACGGCGTTGTCCGACGCGGTAATATGTGGATCAAGAGCGCATTTAGAGAAGGAAGAAACTGCCAAGCGATCCTACTTCCGACTCTTTCTCATGCACGGATTTCATTTCTTAGTTTGGCTGTTGTGCGTTAGAGGCATTAGAGATACGCAGTGCGGATTTAAGCTCCTAACGAGAAAATCAGCGAGAACGATATTCGAAGCGTTGCACGTCGAACGCTGGGCATTTGACGTGGAAATGCTCTACATCGCCCAGACTCTCAACATTCCCGTGACCGAAATAGCGGTTAACTGGACGGAGATCGAGGGCTCCAAGATAGTACCGTTTTGGAGTTGGCTGCAGATGGGCAGGGATCTACTACTCATCTGGCTTAGATACAAAATCGGAGCGTGGAAGATAAATAAACCTAAAACGACTTAGTATTAACGCATAATTCGCATAAAACAGTCAGTCGAAAGATTCCCATCTCGATTGACCTTTCTCCTGATCTATTTGTAAGGATATTTTTAATAATGAAATATATTATGAAAATTTATACACATGAAACACAGCTTATGTAAAGTTCTTCGTGAATGATACAAAAGGGGGAATACGGTCAGAAGACCAAGAGCGACGAGAGGCAAGTCTAATGTCGCCTGAAAAGTAATAGCAGCTACGTAAAATAAATTGATAATATTTTACAAATTTTTTCTCACGTGCGATCATACGTAATTATAAATTGGAGCAGAAAAACATCGTTAATGCCTCTGAAAATTAAATTGCAATTAAATACCAATCTACATCTTTTCCAGATTTTTTAACAATAACATATTATTTATAAATAAAAAGTATTTTTAATTTTATATATTTAATTAAAATTAACAAGAATAGTTATATATTTAGATTAAATAGTTATATAAACTGTAAACATTAAAAACATTATTAACTAATTTATTTTAAATTAATCTTATTACAGTAATTGAGATGAAATATATATGTCCGAGGTCAATAGAGGCCTTTTTTACAGCTAAACTTTTCGCATTTTTACTTTTTTACTTTTTCCTCCAACATCAAAGCATCCGCGTATCTCATTTCAAGTGCGGAAAGTGCTACGAGATGCACCTGTAAAGTACAGACCTAATACATTTCGGAACGCAGTTCCGGTGTTGGCAGATGTTGGTATTGGTCAGTATAAAGTGACGTGTCGTAAAGTCACGCTTTCGAGAAATTCCAGCCCAGAGCCAGTGAATTTCAGCGTAGATCGTAGATTGCGTAGAACAGTCGCGGTTGTTAGTGCGATAGATTGCGATTATCTTCTCCTAACAAACGCAATATCGCGCAAGATATTGTACCGTTGTCTCATTTCGTCGTGACATTCCTTGTCGATTATTCACGAAAATGTCTTTTATATCGCCGATGCCGAGCCAGCAATTCCTTTGGGATGTATTCCAGCGGTACAGTATACCCTTCTACAAATTATTCTATAATTTTCCTATTTTCTATACAATAAATTATTGTACAATTATGACATTACTTAATACGTATCCTCTCTTTCTAAATAGTCTCCGACACCTGCGGAGACTATTTCCTTGCGCGACGCGAACCCTCATTTTCAGTAATTAGTTTAACCTACACGAATTTTGCTTTTGTATTTTTTTTACTCCGCATTATGCGCCTTTTTATCCAGCAAAATTCTGTTTTATCTCCCTGACGTAATCGTGCGTTTCGATAAATTTAAAGATTCAAACGAATAAATTTGGCAATGACTAATGACATTCAGTTGATAATTGAAAATAATCACTTTTTATCAGGGTGGACAGGGACAGATCCGGTACAATCACTGCGGAGGAGCTACAGCAAGCTCTCTCAAACGGTACATGGACGCCGTTCAATCCCGAAACAGTACGTCTAATGATCGGTACGATATGTTTTCAGTATATTTTCAAAATGACCATGTGAATTTATAATGTATATATTACTTTTGTACCCAGGTAGCAATTAATGTCTAAAAGACATCATAAAGACATCTTTAAGATTTCTGGCATCTTAAAGACATCTTTATGATGTCTTTTAGACATTAATGCTATCTGGGTATCTATGATTTCTTCTATTCTCTTAAAACCTTCTCATCTCTTTTCTATAGTGCTAAATGGGAAAGGCTGCATCTCTGTCGCTTGACGCTAGGAAACCTAGTTCATGTAGACTGTTTTAATTCCTTCAAATCATAGCATGTCGCACACTCTTGGTTCTTTCAATATATCATTGTAGTAAAATGATACATGTACGATATCGATTTGCATGGTCTTTTGATATTGTTATTATTTTGTTCCCTACTTTTGTTGGCACAGGTATGTTTGATAAAACCGATCCTGCTACAGGTATGTTTGATAAGAAGCAGGCAGGTACCGTCAGTTTCGAGGAGTTCGGAGCGCTGTGGAAGTACGTCACCGATTGGGAGAGTTGTTTCCGATCGTTCGATCGCGACAACAGCGGCAACATTGATCGCAATGAGTTGAAGACGGCTCTTACAAACTTTGGCTACCGTTTAACCGATCAAACGATCGACATGCTAATACGAAAGTACGATCGTGCGGGACGTGGTACAATATACTTTGATGACTTTATACAGTGCTGCATTGTCCTATACGTAAGTACAGGTGTCTAAGTATCTAAATCATTTTATTAGGCATAGCTCGTGACTTTGCCTGGAAATATCTATCAACTTTTATGTGTAAAAGCTTTGATCTAAGCACAACTGATTTGAGATCTCCTCGAGTTAGACTTGTACTTAAATGAGTTATTTTATTGTTATTTATAGATTTAAATAATATTGGGAAAGCCGATTTTTGAGCCTACACGTTTGATCACAGTTTTAAAAATACGTTTGACTGATAATCTTGAAACGTTTGAATTCATTATGAAGAAATTTAATAATCATACTTTCTATCTTCAGACTCTTACAACCGCCTTTAGACGACTGGATACAGATCTGGATGGTGTCATAACGATTCACTACGAACAATTTTTGGGCATGGTGTTTAATCTTAAGATATAAGTTGCACGATGTCACTCTACAAATATTTCATTCTTTCTTGCCGGTTCGGCAGCATATTCAATACCTAAAGATACACTATAAGATGCCAAATAAAGACACAAGAATTTTTATGTACTATATATGATATGGAGAAAAACCCAGAATCTCCAAAATTAATATTCATTTTTATATTTTCTTTGCAGTATTAATTAAATTTGATCAGGTTAACGAAGAGTTTATTGGAAAATAAATTATAGATTACAGTACATGTCCGTTTATTTGAATATTTTCGTAATAGTAATACTTCGTTAATATTACTATTGTTCTTAAATTGTTTTATTTCTTATAAAATACAATTATACGTGAAATTCTTGTCAAATAATAAATTTTGGAAGTTCTGAAATAATTTGTCAATTGAACAGATAATTTGTGTTAATAGAGATATACTACTATATCCATTTAAGACGTGATATAGTCCGTTAATGCAAGTCAGTTATAATAACTTGTATCTGTTACAGAACATCACTGATTATTATTGTTTGCAAATCAAGTTTGAATGCACTATATATGCGCTTCCAGCATTACTGTTATATGTATATTATGTAATGAAAAAATTTCTGAATATAAATGTGTAAAATGTGCGTTTAAATAATTATAAGCAACGATGACAAAACTGGCAAATGTCCTACATTTCTTAACACGTTATTACATATTTTATGCATATTAATATTTGTCGATATATAACGTTCATAGTTATATTTTTCTATAATTATTATACTAATATAATTATAATAAGTGATCGAAAAATATATTTCTTTTACAAAGGAATTAACTGTGCATTACTTTCCTAAGATCGGGTAGTGTGGATCAAATGCAAAAAAAAAATAGATTATTGTGGTAAAGATACTCAGTTTATTAAAATTTTAATCTTAATAATAACTTCAATTTCGCTTTTACAATTTGCTCTAATTATTTCTTTTCCTCAAGTTTACTTCTGGGCGTCTGCTGACGTATCGATGCATTGAGGTCTGCCTCGCAATTGGAATATGCCATACCTAATCCGAAACCAGCACCGGTTATAATGGGCCACTTCCTTCCTACAGAGAAAATTCAGCATCCATATACACATCTCGTAAAACAATTGAAAAGTAATTTGACAAAATTATATGATTTCTTTAAATTTCTTTCATAAATTATCTAATTAAACAAACATTTATTTATTTAAGTATATTACTGTCATCTAATCTAGAATACATTAAAGTAGCACTAATCGCACTGTAAAACTATTGTTCTTGACACAAGATAAAAAAACTAATCTATGAAAACTATACTACGAATAAAAGGAATTATATACTTTCATTTAGAATTAAAGGGATCATAAAATAAGTATTAACTCTCTAATGACATTGCTTATGAAAAAAATTATACAATCAGTAAATACCAATTGATCATGTAATCATTGAGACTTGAAAAATATAGATATAAGACTATAAACTTCAAGTATAATTAACGTTTTAACAGCGAAATATACATGTAATTGACACACGTGCAATATATTAATGTTAAGGATGGCGGACCGAAATCTAAGTACATCTATGTCTCTGAATATCTCGCTACTGACTCCAACAATTATATTAATAAATACAGTTATGTCATAGGGGTGTAACGGCACAAAACACACGCACACACATCGGCAACAAGGTGATCTTACTTTTGAAGAAAAATAGAGAAAACACTCCGCCAAGGACCACGCCGCCACCTGAAAAAAGAGAAATCTCGTCAGCAACATTTGCGGACGGTGCATTCGTCGTCGCGGACGGTTCGGGAGCGATAATTACCCAGCTTGAGGATCGCGTCCGTGAAGCAGCGGTCCCACTTTCGCCCGATCTCGTCCTCGGCCCACACGGCGCCGGCCATTTTTCGCTGGGTTATGACTGGTTATAACGCCACTGCCGTTACGTCATTCGCCCGAAACGAGACCGTTCACGTGCATCCGACGATCGGTCATATTGATCCGGCGGGCTCGCACGCCTCTTTCTCCGGCTCCGACTCCGGCTCCGTTTCGCGCGCGCAGTCGCGCAACACGCGAGAAAATCGCTGGCGATGGAAATAGCGAAGCGAGGAAACTGAATTCTTTCCGGCCGATATTTTTCCTTCAGAGATAAGTGGATCTTCGTAACGCGCGCCTTCGCGCCGCTCGCGCACGGCTACCAATCTGCGTCGATCACCGTCGATATTCAACGGTATTTTATCACCCGTTCGAAATGTGTAAAATTGGAGTAAATTCCTTCCGTTCCCGGCTTTCCCTGCGATCTTTCTCCCTCTCGTCCGGACAACTCGAGAGAGTCATTTACAACGTGCAATTCGCAAGAGAAATCATTCTCGTCACATCTGCGACTAGAATTTTATAAACAGGCCAGCGTGAAAGCAAGTTCAGAGTTGAGGCCAGTCGTGATTGGTCGGTCGCCGTGAAGAATAATCGAACGAAAAGATGTAGATGAATTTAACGTTAAATTTCTATTTATTTCTTAAATTTTTATTCATTTCTAAGCTTCACCCAGTTTAGCAAACATGATTTTTTATTTTTTAAATAAAAATATTTTATTCTTTTGCCTATATAATATTATATGTAAAATAATTTTGCGTGAAAACGTGCGTGATGTTTCTTTTCAGGCGGATTTATTTATTTATCAGTTTTTTAGTTTGCCGGACACGATCATTTTTGTATGTACCGCGTGTCCGTCTCGATTGTCGTCGCCCACGAGAACTCGAACCGACTCGAACTCGCACGCGCGGCGCGGCGGTCGAATCGAAGGCGCGGTCGATTCGGCGTGACGTAGGGTAGGCTGGGTAGGGCGGTTGGCCGGCCTGCCGGTGTCTCGTAAGCGACTCATTTCACCCACGTCTCGTCGAGCGCGAGAGAGAGGCAGGTGCGCTGGCCTGTCCGTCCGCGAGCGTTTGATCGGGGGTGAGGACGAGTCCACGGGGTTACCGTTCGTGCGTGCGTTTGCGAGATTCGCGCGCGGACGGCTCCGTGTGGAAAAACGCGCGAAAGACCGAGTCGCGCGGGTCGCCGAGGTGGCTGCACATCCGGCGGAGCGGCGCGCGACGTCGTGAGAAGAAAGAGAGAGATCGGGCGAGCAGCACGCTCCGAGAGTCCGCTGTCGTGGCGGCAGTGACAAAGAGAGAGAGAGAGAGAGAGTGAGAAAAGAGAGAGTGGGCGCGAGTGTTTTTTTTTCTTCGCGCGCGTGTATGCGTGCGTTATTCAAGACCGATCGGGAGCATTTCCGCGCGGGACGGCAGGAGAGTCCCGCGCGCGGCGTGTGCGATCTACGTAGGTGCGGATTACACGAAGAGGCGGAGGGGGGAGAGGGGGGCCCGCGCGCCAGTCCACCAGTCCCCTAGGGAATCTCGGCGCCTCGCCGTTGCCTGTCGCGCGGATCGGCGGACGGAGCCGCCGCGCTGCGTGAGTCGCGCTGCGAACGGAGCCGCGGGTCGTGCGCGCGGAGTCGAGCGAGATACGCCGATACGCCGCCGTGTCGACGAGGAGGAGCCGGAGTAGCGTGAAACTCGTGACGAGGATCCAGCAAGAGAGAGTGAGAGAGTCTCCGGACGCGCGCGAGCGCACGCGGCTCGCTCGCGCAGGTAAAATCCGCGGCGCTCCGCGCGGCGCGTAATGGAGGAGCCGACGACCGCGAAGCGCGCTCGCGGCAGTACCAGCAGCGACAGCGATAGCAGCAGCAGCAACAGGAGCAGCAGCAGCAGCAGGAGCAGCAGAAGCAGAAACACCAGGAGGAGCGACAACGGCACAACCGTGCGCAGCAACAACAGCAACGACCGTCGTCACCACCGCCACCGCCGCCACGGTAATGCCGTGCTGCGCCGCCACCGCGTCGTCAGAGCGTGAGCCGCGCGATTCCTGTCGTCGACTGTTCCGGCACCCGGCAATCCCGGCAGCATCCCGGCGGCCGCCGCCGGGCGCGAGAGGCGGGTCGAACGTGCTATGGGATCGTCCGGGAGCGACGACGCCGCACGACGCCGCAACGACCGTTCGCGTCCACCCGTTACGTTTGCCGTGACGTTCGCCGACCGTCGGGCCGCGAGCAGGGAGTAGGAGCAGCGAGACAGCACCTCAGATACGCTTCCTCGGCGCGCCGCGCCGCACCGCGCCCTTCCACGTCCTACGTGTCCTACGTGTCGTCGATCGTACCTAAACGTAAACGTAAACGCGACGTCCCCGCCGGCCGTGAGGGATAAGATCGGCGGCTCTCGGGCGAGAGGTTAGGCTGGCATGGGGATTGATCCCCGTGAGGTGGCATCGTCCGTCGAACTCTGACAATCAGCCAGCCAGTCAGCCCCTTTTGGCACCCTCTATCTATATCTTTCTCTCTCTCTTTCCTTCTCCCCTCCTCCCTCTTTCCCGTTCTGTCGCCGCCACCCGCGCGCGTCCTACCCTTCCGCGCCCTACGCGGTGTACACCGCGCCCGCGCGTGCCCTTTTCCGCTTGCGGAAACTGCGGCGAGTGTCGCGTTGTGTCGTTCCGCTTCTATCGCGTCGCGTCGGGTCCCGCCGTCGTGCCCGTCGTCCGCGCTTCCCAGGGGCACGAGGGATTATGCCCTGCACGGAGATCGGGATCGAGCCCCGTCACTGACCCAAAACAAGACATCGACAACGTCGTCGTCCGTCGTCGTCGTCGCCGTCGCCGCGAGTGTGGTGAAAATACGTGTGCACGCGCAGTTAGATCGTGTATCGATAATTAAATCGCCGCAACCGTGGATAACAACGGCCGGTACGAGATGCAGAAACGGGACGGCAGGGACAACCGCGACGACAAGGAGCTCGGGGCGCGCCGCACCGACCAGGAGGTCGCCAAACGGGCCTCCAGGGGCAGCGGGAACGCCGCCCGGTCGAACGTGCACTCGTCCCGGCACAGCGTCACCTCGTCGTCCGGCGTGCTCATGGTCGGCCCGAACTTCCGGGTCGGCAAGAAAATTGGCTGTGGAAACTTCGGGGAGCTCCGTCTCGGTGAGTCCTTCGTTGTTATTATTGTCCTTTCCCCGCGCGATTAAGTCACGTTTTGCAGGGAGAGGGATGAGCGATACTCTTTATAATTTTTTGGAAACAAAAGAAAATATTTGATACAAATGTAATATTCCATTATCGTCTCTGTTCAAGTATCCGTCTTGACGCTCGGAACGACGTTTTCCGCGGTATGTCCGACGAATCACGACGTTGATTTTAATGGCAGGTTTCCTGATAAAATTATTATCGATTTTTCCTCGGCGAAGACAGAGAGAGATACCGACAGTTGTCGAGAGCGATTGAGAGAGAGAAGGACTTTCTGCAAGCTGAGCTCCAGGAGCACGAATGACAAAATGGAGAAACAAAGTCGTATCCCTTGGTTAATTCTTAAAATACATTCCAACATGATTTCATGCTTCAAATTACGAAGAAACGCGTGACTCAAAGTGAAAAAGTGAAAGACAAACGATGACCTCCCACGACATTTTCGCCGAGGAAAAGTCGACTCTAAATTAAGGCATTCTGCTGTTACAATTAAGGTCGCGAGAATTGCGGAGACAACACCCCGTGCATATGTATAATATGTATACGCGAGAGATATCGTGCGATATGAAAATCCGTTCTAGACAATTTTAGAATCAAGCTCATTCTCGAATGAACGATTCGATTGATCCCGCAATATGTCGGTGCAATTCCCTGTTACGTCGGACTTCTTTTTTCGAAGACATCGTTTCTTTATTTTTATACGTTGAATTAGTTCTTTGTAAAGCGGCACTGAAAATAAGATCGATGCTGATCTATGAGAGGCATCGCGAAATTAAATTAACCAATTAACGAATACTTAAAAATGATTTCTCGCTCGGTGTTACTATACTCGGTGAATTTATACGTTATATTTATTTATTATATAATACGTTAAGAAAATTTTTAAAATGTTTAAGTATTTATTCATTGATTGCGAATTTATACGAAGTATATATAATGGATTAAGACAATTTGAAAAATTTTTATATGTTTATCCCTCGCGAATTTACATGTTTATTTATTATACGCTGCATTAAGAAAATTTATAAAATGTTCAAATATTTATTCATCGCGAATTTATACGAAGTACATGTAATGGATTAAGAAAATTTAAAACATTTAAAACAATTTTTAAAACATTTATCTATCACGAATTTATACGTGTGAAGTTTCATTTTATACAAATTCGTTTAAAACAGCGAAAAGGAGATAAGATAAAAACGCTGTGCCGAGAAAAGATTTCGGAATGATCGCCAGGAGCGACGAAAGGACACGCGAACTTCTCTCATTATCTTACGAAAAACGAGCGAAACGTCACGTTAGATCTCCTCACGTGGTCGGCGTTCGCCGTTTTTACGAATCGAACTATCGAGCAATGTTTACGACGATATCCGCAATCTGCAGTCTTGCATGTAACGACGATGAAATCTGGAGTTATCAGCCCCTCGAGTGCTCGCGGCGCGAGTTCGTGTGACTAATGATGTCTGCCGCGCGCTGAAAACAATGATTCTAACATCGGGAGAGGCTAACGCTCTCCCGATTATCGCGGCAATGGCATAATACAGAGCGGGTTCTACATACTGACGCTACTGTACGGTAGACCGGAAGCCTGCAAATATTGATGTTCCCCCGACAAAGCGCCAACGTGTTCTCACAATTATTAATCGCAAACAGTACGATATTTATTTTTGCCCCTTTTGAATTATAAAATTAAACATTCTATCGCGCCGTTCGATCTTCAGCTGAAAACGTGCGGTTTGAAAAACTTTAGAGGCTTATATACAGCGTGTATATGTATAATTTTTTTCATCTCTATACTCGATCTCTTTTTTATGCAATTTTTCTAATCAAAATTCGGATCGAGGGACGATCGTTTTGTGCAAGTTCTGCTCCGATGCCTTTTCGAATTGAGAATTGTTACCGAAAAGTAAAATAAACCTGTTCCCTTCGATATTAGAGATACCTCCTTAGAGACGCGAGTCTAAGTTTCTCAACGGAGAAATCTTTTGCCGAGCTGACGAAATATCAGGCGGGCTGACACAGCGAAACGGCTTTGCAGCTTTGATGCGCTCGGAGCAACATCTTTCGTGGCGTTTCATCGCGCGCGAAACGACGCGACGCTCGGCTCGGCTCGGCTCGGGGAAACATTGCGTTTTCCAGCCGTAATGGCCGCGGTTGTTACTGCAAAAAGCGTTCATGCGGAAAATCCTACGGCGCTCGGCTCGTTGCACGGTTAACACGAGCCGCGATTTCGCTAACGCGTTATTACCCATTCGTAATGACGACTTTGTTAGTAATAGCCGCTTTAACAGCTCGTTCGATGTCATCGTCGACGATTATATCACTCGTGACAAGCTAGTAATTAGCTGCTAATATCAGAGATTGTATACTTAAAATAGATAAACTTATCCTACAGCTTATCTTGCGTATGTTTGCCTATAGAGGAGAAAGAGAGAGAGAGAGAGAGAAAAAATGAATAAAGGGACATAAATTTTGATTGTTCCGCGAAATATTTATCCGGAATGAATATGGAGAAAACATGTAGAGAGAATGATGGTCTCTTTCGACAACGCCGCCGGGGCGAGCGAAAGAATTTCCAGAAACCGCTCTCGCGTGATTCATCTTTGAATACTCGCTCTTGTGGGTGAATATTCGTGCGGTTTTACCGCGCCGGCCGCCTTCTTGAAATACCTGCCGCGACGCGAGACCGCAGAGCTTGCACGAAAAATATTTTAAGTTTACCGGACGTTCTGGCGTTAGGAGTGACAGTTGAGAAGTATATCGCGTTATCTTTCCTCGAGTAAACAAGTCACGCCGGGAGTTCCAATGCGGGGAAAAGCGAAATTTGACGCGGAATACAGATTTCAACCTAGTTTTAATTTTAATATCGGAGCCACCTCGTCAGAAGTAATAACGTTACGTGGAAGAGGATAGTGTCCGATTGATCTTTGCTTGAAAAAAATTTGTTCCAAATTTGTCGAAGGCAGCTCGAAAAAGTTTTATTCCAAATTCGCTCGCTGCTGGAGATTATTTGACCGTTGATATATTCTGTAGATAGACTGCCGGTGTATTTCAGTAAAGCACGAGAACCGGCACTCGCACTTACAAATGACATCTGATATGCCATCAATGATAACATGCATGAGTCATTGACAATTTTAAATTATTTCATCATGCTGCATCTTTTTAAGGCCTAAACAGAAGTACAGGCAATAGAAACAGGGAATTAGCCAGGCAACAGAAATAACCGCATTTCAACTTATAATAAAATACTCATTAGGGTGATTGGTCAGGTACAGGTAATAGAAAATAGAAATCCAACGCGTCGGAAATTTTGTTCCTATTGCCTATTTCATATTTCGTTGCGTTGATACACAGTTTTTGGCAAGTTGAAATCTGGTCATTTCTGTTACCTGATGGCTTATTCCCTGTTCCTGTTATTGTGTTCACCTGTTATTGTGTTTAGGCCTTTACGCTTGCATTGGTCCCACGTCGATGTTACCTTTCTTCTTCCTTTTTTTATCATAGCTCGAAGCTATCGAAACGTGACTATCCTTAAAACGGATGATTTATATCTCTCGTTAATATTTCTTATTATATTTCCCTGCTTTTAAAAATTGTCTTATTCAACACATGTGGAATCGGTAATTATACAGGGATATAATGGAACATCGCACAAATATTCGATAATTAATACCGCTTTGTAATTGTATTGAATCATGTCTGTATCCCTTGTTTTTTCTTCTTCCTTATTCTAACTCGAGAGTCCCAAAATACGCAGCTATTTTATTTTTGACAAGCGCAAAAATGTGTGCAAGATAAAACGCGAATAAAGCGAACAGGTTTGCTCGGTGCCCCTCCTGACGACAACAAAAACGAGCATCACAGCGGCGGTGGCGGCAACGACGCGTTTGTCGAACAACACTCGACACCGGAATGAATCCGAGCCCTTCATTGGCTTGGCCGGCTGCTCCGCGCAATGAGGGACACGCGTGTGTCGTTAATATCGTTATGCATGCGTTATCAGTTTATCACCTCGTGCTTGTTTCTCGCTCGCTCGAGGGTCGTAAACGCGTCCACCAATTGACCCGTCGTCGGCGTCGCGCGCACCATGCGCGAATCTAAACGAAAATTGTCGGCAAATTGCTTTCCGGGCTGCTGATACATCGCTCCGAATCCGGAATCGTATATACACCTTAATGACCCAATTTCGAACCGCTCACGGTCCAAATTTTTGTAAGTCGCGTGTGTACGTATACACACACGTAACTGCATGCCAACAATCGTTACTTTGCGCACAGTTGGACGATAAACAAGTTCTTTGGACAGTAGAGATAGCTTGCGCGAGCCGACGTTCCTTTTATAAGAAAAAGATTATTATTTGATTCAGTATTATTTGATACATAAATCTTAATGCATATGTTAATTTCTTCGATATTATTACATATTTCATTCATAAAATTTTTCGCACCGATTAGCCTGTAAAGGATTAAAGTTTTGCGTGGTAGAAATGGAACACTCTGTACACCGAGAAAACGGCTCACTCCGTAAATCTGAAGCGATAAGGCCCGTCCACTTTTCGTACGCAGCAATCTTCGTGCACGGCAGCCGGAACCGCGATACGTGTTCGAGGACAGGAAGTACGAAATTCCAAACCGTAGGCCACAAAGTGGCACACACGTAAGACCTTCCGGTCCTACCTGAGGGGGTCGATCGCAGCCCGCCGTTACGTTCCCACGGTCACGTCCGACAAAAATTGATCGACTCTTCTGAGAAGAGCGTACTCCGATTCGTCCCCGTCGAGGGATTCTCCCCGCTCCCTCTCGAAGAAGAAGAAAGCACATCTGAATGAAGTCGCAACTGCGACAGGCGTATTTTTCTCTCTCAAAAACGCGAAATACAAAGCGCAAATTAGATTCTAAATTAGGTTCTTAGGAAAACGTGAATTATTTAAAAGGTTGTAAATAAAGTCTTCGAAA